CGTGCGGGAGCGGTGGCGGCCGCGCTGACCGGCGCTGCGCCGCTCCCTTCCCGCAGCGTCGCCAGCCTGAGTCCCCTGACGGAGCAGCAGCGGCACGTCCTGCAGCAGCACGAGCAGCAGCTGCAGCAGCTCCAGCAGCTCCTGACTTCCCAGCCGCTTAACCCGGTAAGGGACGGGCTGCTCGCACCGGGAGAAGCCGGGAGCCCAGAGGGGAAAATGGGAATTTTTTCCCCCTCTCCCCGAATTCTCTTTGCGCCTTATCCCGGCTGAGCGCAGCGCAGGAAATTCAGAGCCGGTCTGGAAGTTTGGGATGGGGAGTGGAACGAGGAGTGAAGCTCCAGGCGGCGCCCGGGGATGGGAGTTGGGATTTGAAATCTTTCTGGAGCAAAGGGAAGAAGTTAAATCTGAGTTTCCTGAGGGGGTGAGGAGGTGGGAGCTCGGTGAAATCGGGACGGGGGAAATCCGGGAGAGCCGCTCGCTCCTGGAGTCATCCCGGGATGCAAATCCTGCCGGATCCCGGGATGCAAATCCTGCCGGATCCCGGGATGCAAATCCTGCCAGATCCTGGGATACAAATCCTGCCGGATCCCGGGATGCAAATCCTGCCGGATCCTGGGATGCAAATCCTGCCGGATCCTGGGATGCAAATCCTGCCGGATCCCGGGATGCAAATCCTGCCGGATCCCGGGATGCAAATCCTGCCGGATCCTGGGATGCAAATCCTGCCAGATCCTGGGATATAAATCCTGCCAGATCCCGGGATGCAAATCCTGCTGGATCCCTCTGCCAGCCATCCCAGGATGCAAATTTTTCCAGATCTTGGGATGTAAATCCCGCCGGATCCCGGGATACCAATCCCTCCGGGTCCCGAGATACCAATCCCTCCGGGTCCCGGGATACACCAATCCCTCCGGATCCCGGGATACCAATCCCGCCGGGTCCCGGGCTGGCCCCATGCTCCCGGCTGTGCCTGCAGAGGCAGAACACCCCCGGGACCTTGCTGGGGGTTAGAGAGAAAAAACCCGAATTGTTTGGGTCCCGGGGCGGCCGAGCCGTGTCTGGGGACATCCTGGGACAGCCGGAGGTGCCGGGGGCTCCACAGGAGGATTTTAGGGTCACGGAGAGGCTCAGGCGGCTGCTCCAAGGCAGTGCAGACACAGCCCTGGCCCGGGAACGGGGCTGGAGAGGTGGCACACAGGTCCCCGAGGTGGCACACAGGTCCCCGATGTGGCACACAGGACCCCGAGGTGGCACACAGGACCACAGCCCCTGGGCGCTGTCCCCGCCCTCCTGGGGTGACACGGGGCTGTCACCAGCGCCATCGGCGGGGCCGGGCCGTGCCCGCTGCTCTGGCCGCGTTTCTGGGTCAGGCTATTTTTACATCCCGGGAAAAGCGAATTTCCGAGGGCAGCCGATGTCACCGTGTCACCCGCGGGGACGCGACAAGGGCAGCTCCGGCTGCCGCGCGGTTGCCATAGCGATTCCTGCGCTTTTCCCGGGTTTCGGGGCGTCCCTCGGGATGCAGGGGAGCCCCGAGCCTGCTCCCCCCGGCTCCCGCTCATCCTGGGGGCAGCAGGATGGGCTGGGGGAGAATTCAGAGCCGGTCTGGGAATTTGGGATGGTGAATCCCACAGATTTGAGATCGCTGCTTTTCCAACCCCTGGAGACAGCAGGATGGGCTGGGGGAGGATTCAGAGCCGGTCTGGGAATTTGGGATGGCGAATCGCACGGATTTGAGATCGCTGCTGCGATGGATTGGAGTCGCGGGGGATTTGTGTCGCTGCGGGCGCCTGGGGAAGGAGGATTAGTGACCCTAATCCCCCGCGGGGGTTGGGAAGGGCGCGGGATGTTGGTGGACACCGGGGCTGCCGCTCCGTGTCCCTGCAGAGGTGGCACCGAGGGGATTTTGTCCCCGTTCCCAGGAGCATGGCCTGGGAGCGGGGGTGCCGTGCTTGGAGAGGAACCCCAAAATCATCCGCTGACCAAATCCTCCCGTGCCCCTTAAACCAAATCAGGGTGACACCTTCAGTCACTTCCAGAACCTTCCAGTCACTTCCAGAACCCCTCAGTCACTTCCAGAACCTTCCAGTCACTTCCAGAACCCTTCAGTCACTTCCAGAACCTTCCAGTCACTTCCAGAACCCTTCAGTCGCTTCTAAAACACTTTGGTCACTTCCAAGACTTTTCAGTCACTTCCAAAACCTTCCGGTCATTTCCAGAACCCCTCAGTCACTTCCAGAACCCTCCAGTGACTTCCAGAACCTTCCAGTCACTTCCAGAATGCTTCAGTCATTTCCAGAACCCTTCAGTCACTTCCAGAACCTTCCAATCGCTTCCAGAACCCTTCAGTCGCTTCTAAAACACTTTGGTCACTTCCAAGACTTTTCAGTCACTTCCAAAACCCTCCAGTAACTTTTAAAACTCTTCAGTCCCTTCCAGAACCTTTCACAACCCTTCAATCACTTCCAGAATCTTCCAGTCACTTCTAAAACTCTCTAATCACTTCCAGAACCGTTCAGTCACTTCCAGAACCTTCCAGTCACTTCTAAAACCCTCTGATCACTTCCAGAACCGTTCAGTCACTTCCAGAACCTTCCAGTCCCTTTTAAAACCCTTCAGTCACTTCCCAAACCCTCCAATCACTTCCAGAGCCCTTCAGTCACTTTTTGAAGCCTCCCAAGGTCGGTGACTCCACCGCTCCCTGTTCCAGTGCCAATCCTTTCTTCCAGCCCTGAAATTTCCCCCAGGATCCACCGTGAGCCTCTCCCTGTGTTTGTGGGGTCACGGTGGATATCGGGGAAAATCTCCTCTTCCCTCCCGGAATTCCCAAAGGCCGATGTCTCCGCATGGGAAAGGGGCTGTAGCCGGGATTATCCCGGGGGTTTGGGGTTATCCAGGGGGTTTGGGGTTATCCAGGGGGTTTGGGGTTATCCCGGGGGTTTTGGGGTTATCCAGGGGGTTTGGGGTTATCCAGGAGCTTTTGGACCTGGCAGTGGATTCCCGGATCTGAGTTGGGAGATGAAAATAATTGTGGGGGACAGAATCCCAAATCCCTGCGCTCCCTGCGTTTTCCCACCCAGCACAAACCTGAGCCTGTGCCAGGTGTCCCCTCCTGCCGAGCGGGATGTCCCCTCTCTGTCCCCGCTCTGTCCCCTCCTGCCCAGCGGGATGTCCCCGCTCTATCCCTGCTCTATCCCCAGTTTTCCTGCCCTGTCCCCGCTGTCCCCACTCTGTCCCCACTTTGTCACTGCTCTGTCCCCTCTCTGTCCCGCTGTCCCCTCTCTGTCCCGCTGTCCCCTCCTGCCCGGCGCGCTGTCCCTGACGCTGTCCCTGTCTGTGGCGGCCGTTCCCGCAGGAGCAGCAGGCGCTGGTGTTCCAGATGATGCAGCAGATCCAGCAGAAGCGGGAGCTGCAGCGGCTGCAGATGTCGGGCTCGTCCCAGCTGTCCCTCCTGGCCGCCACCTCGGCCCCGCTGCACTCCAGCCCCGGCGCGCTGCTGAC